TCCCGAGAGCTCTGGCCGTGGGTTTGCTCTGGCCTGGTGGGCTGGATGGTGCTCCTAGACTTGTATTCTCAGAGGAGCTCAGAAGCCACGAGGCTTGAAAGGAAGTTGGACTCAGGGTTTAGCAGTTGGTTCTGCCTCCTGTTGGCTGTGTGGCCAACTTTGTGATCACGCAAACTCTGCAGCGACACTTTCTCCTCTGTAATTGGGTGCTGATATATACCCCGCGATAAAAGAATAAATGAATGGATACCTGCTTACCTACTGATGCAGGGTTTGGGAAATTTCACAGTATTGTCAATCCTATGAGGTTAGTAGTAGCATTTTTATCCCATTTTAACAGAGAAGGTTACTGTGGATTAACTGGATCATGGACTTGCCCCAAATCTCAGTGCCGCAGGTGGCAGAGCTGGGACTCAAAACCCCAGTCTTCTGGTCCCTGTTCTCATTACCTGTCTAGTTCAGTTTGTCCCAATTTGATGGGGGAGTGACACTGAGCGAAATGTTTATAAATATGTAAATAATGAGTGTGAAAGTGCTTTGCCAACTGAAAGCACCACACAAGTATAAAGATGACTTTGTGTCCCAGGATCCTGAGAGAATGCTTTTTTCTGAGCCTTGTCCAAAGAGGTTGGTTGTTTTTTCATTGGTGAAGGGAGAATATAAGGACTCAGGATATTGAAGAGATGCACGGTATTTTTACATTGAGCTTGTTTTTCACTCAGATCCCTACCAACTAGCTTCATATTTATTTTTCTTGTCACATAGAAGTCTTTAATTATACATGTTCATTGCAGAAAATTTAAGAAATAGAAATAAACCCCCAAAAGGGAAGCAGATTAATACTACCCAGCAATAAAGTGTGTTCACATGGCTGTCAGTACTCCTGCATTGGCATCACAAACACTAGATCTTATGGTTCATTCTGCTCAGGAGTCAGAAATGACCGTGCAATATTTCATGGACATTCGGGTATTTAAAAAATAATAGAGGGACTTTGACCTTGAAAATGGAAAGAAAAGAAAACCATTTCCCCCAGATCACACCTGTAATTTCATCACTTGAAATGGGTTCTGTGGGGCTTCCTGAGATCCAAGCCTCACACTGGTGTGCGATAAAGAGGCCAGCAAGGTAAGGATCCTTTCTGGTTGTCACTCGGCTGTGATTTAGGTCAGGTGAGCCCATAGAATTGCTTACCCCTCTGGTTGTCACTCAGCTGGGGTTTAGAGTAGGAGCGTGTGCTGGGGTAGCAGGTCAGGTGAGTCCATAAAATTGCTCTGTCCAGAGGGGTTCCGTTTCTGGTAGCTTGTTCCAGAGTGCCTTGGGGTGAATATTGATGTAAGAGCACACGGATGCTGTGCAGTCTATGACACAGGCACACCTGAGAAGGAACGAAGCGAACCCACCATTGCAGCCAACTGAATGACAGTATTGTGATGTTGCCAAACACTAGCCACACTCGCCTCCTTTCTCTCTCCACAAAGTCCAAACCTAAGGGGCTTTGCCGTTGCCAGTTCCTCTGCTGAGAACACTGTTCCCCCAGCTCTTCAAAGTTACTTCCTTTTAGGCCTTCCCTGGCCACTCCGTTTGAAGTGGCCTGCTCCTGCCCCACCACCCAGGCATGTCTGTTCCCTGCGTGGCCCTTGCCGGGCCCTGAGATTACTTTGTTGCTTTGCCTGTCTGTTGCGTGTCCGCTTCACCGCTGGGCAGCCTCTGGAGTGGAAGACACGGGTCCCATCCACTGCGGCACCCCACGGCTTAGCACACGACCCGCACCCCAAGATGCTCGGCAGATGGGTGAATTGTGTTATGACCGTTTGTCATGTAAAGTGGACATCAACTAAACTTTTTTAAAATTACTGAATAGTTTTGCAAAAAATTTCTATGTAGTTAAATGTAAGATGAAATGCTAAGTAAAATACGGCCACGTGAAGTGTAAAAATAAATGGAATGTAACAACACTCAAAAGTAGGAAACAGCATAGGTGGGTGAGGAAACTGTAGAATTCAGGGTCTTTCAATTTGCATTGCTCATTCCACCTATGGTGATAGTCTTATCTTGGTTGAAACTGGTTGTCACATTAACAAAATACTCTCGTATTTATCACTTGAGCAAAGAGATGGAAGAGTTTGGTTTTCAATTCCAGACACCTGAAAATATACACCTTTATTAAAATATGTGGGTTTATTTAAGTATATATCTTAAAACATCTAAAAAGGTGAGGTTATGAAGTCCCTGAGGTACATCTTACATTTGGTAGGAAACAGCGTCATTTCTGAAAGCCCCTGTCCTAGAATAACTGCTGTTACGAGATTGGTCTGGAGGAGTGTGTCAGAGCCCTCCCAGCAGGAGCCCTGACGTGATTCCCCTTGTGTGCACCCCTCCCTTGGGTCATCACCTTATCGGTTGTAGTTACGGCCGCTGCTCTGCTAAGGTGGGGGACAGGGCCTGTGGTCCTCTTCTGTGGTTGGTTGTTTTTACCTTATGGTCTTAATTTACCTGAAGTTTTAAGCTTCAATAAAGGTAAAGGAAGTGTGGCTTTTGTAAGCAGAATAAGAAATCTCATGCTACCCAATGCTTGAGGAGGCAGGTGGAAACATAAATGATTTATAGGTGTGAGGCCTTGATGTCACAGAGCAGGAAAAGGAAAGAGGTTGAGCTTCTTTTTAGAAAGGCCGTTCAGAGCTTGTTGGTGTGCTGTAGCTTTTCAGAGGTGACCTCTGGGCTAATAATTGACTTTTTAGCCTCAGACTACTTTTCTGTCTCTAGAGAAGGTGGGATTGAGTGTAATTCAGCCCACTAGTTAATTGGTTAGAGTAATGCATTATGATCTCTGCCCAAGGAGCCAGCCAGACCCTGGCTGCAGGCGGCTTCAGTGGAGCCTTCTGCAAAGGGCCTGTGGCATTCTGTAAATTTATCCTGCATTGCATGTGTTTTCCTGTGGTCTTTCTTGAACTTCAAATTGATTGTAAGCTCCTCCCTAATTCCCCAGGGCATATGTCAAAGTTCTGCTTGAGGTTTTATGTAACCAGTTGATAATTTCCCTCTCTCTCCCCCCCTTTTTCCTCTCCCCCTTT